GGGAGGGGGCAAATACAGCAGAGTTCACCCAGGCGGTGCGGTGTGGTCTACCCTCCCCCTTCCCTGCCCTGCCCTCCCAAGCAGCCCTTGGCTTCCCCCATGATGCTCAAACCTTACCTGTTCCTGCCCACGGCAGTCTGCATCATGTTCCTGCCCACACCTGCCCCTCGCTCGCTAACAGCACTGCTCCAGACCTGGTCCCAGCTACAGCCCTGACCAGTACTGCTCAGTTCTTCCCACCTCCAGCAGTTCCCTGGGTATCACATGCCCAGCCAGTCAGTGGGGGAAGCTGCAGCCAGGCAGCTCCTGCCCCAGCATACAGGACTCTAGCCCCAGCTCCTGGCTACCTTCCATCTGCTTGGCCCACCCAGCATGATAAGTAGCCACACTAGCTGGGGCTGGGTGGGACTCAGCCCCATGCAGAGCACCATGGGGGCAGCTGCGGGCCAGATACAATCAATTGGTGGGCTGGATCTGGCCCATGGGCCATATTTTGTGCACGCCTGCTGCAGGGGATACAATAGAATAGCTGCCTCTTAGTCAGCAGTTCTTATCTCCAAAGGTTTATCAGAAGTCCTTTTTATAGATTTGCAGTATCATTGATTTCAGAGAGATATCCCAAGCAAGCCACACTGCTGTTATAAAATTCTGCCTAAGAGGGGAAAAGGCTACCAGTTGCCACTTACAATGATGTCTCCTCCTCTGACAAACTGTAGGCGGACTTGAAAGACAAGGATGTCTAGAAGGTAGATGAGGTCACAGAGATAGTCCATAAGAAGCCAGTAATGGATGTTATCTGGTGTCTGGTATGGAAAGGTACAACGGACTGGAATCAGCCAGCAGTTCCAATTCCAGGCCATTACAACAAAGAACAGCCACAGCACGTACATCAGATCTAAGCAGAGGAAAGCAAAAGTGAGAAAAAAGAAGTCAGCAAGCTTTTCTCAAATAGTCACAAGCTGAGTTCTGCTAATACCATGTCCTGCTTCAAAGCTGCCAAAGATCTAGTGCACAGCAAAAGTAACACCTTCTGAGAAGTACCTCGCAGGATTTCTGAGTCCTACCACCAATGGCACTTGATCAGGACTACCTGCCTACTGCTAACAGGATTGGCTTTATGGGTAAATGAACTGGGCACTATAATGATGGGTACCAAAATCTGCTAAATTCTCAGCACTTTACCGTAAGAATTAATTTCTAACTTTATTATTTCAAGGTTACTTATTTCTTTAGCTATGACTGCTGGCTCTTGGAGAGAAGCGATTCTTAGAAATGGGTGAGGTATGGGAGGGAAGGAGTTGGTTTTCCAGGGATTTTTCGCAGTGGTCTAACCAATTTTTTGTTAGCTAAAAGGGCTAAAAGTACTTTGGCATGTTGCTCCGCACACTGACTGAGAAACTTCCTACAGTCACAGCTGTGGAGGAAAACCTTTAGCTACCAACCATATCTAAAGAAATGTATTGTTTCTTTTGCACTTCCAAAGGAAAAAATCCAGTCATAGGCACATCCATATGCACATTAAAATTGTT